CCTGGCCTGCTGTGTTCCTCCAGCTCCACACTGCGTTATCTCGGACTCCAGCATCAGCAGTTCTTACTATCTCCATCATAATATAGATACTTCAAGATATCACTATTTATTTACCCAAATTCTCTACCTTCCATATCTTTCTGCACAGTAAACACTTCCCTTGCCTGCATCAGGATAATTTTGCAAATGAAAAATTTCAACAAAGCATCTTAATATTTAGTTAATCATTTCTGCATCTTCTCAAAGTTTATATCATCCTTCCTAAAGTGCAGTTTGACAAGATATTTGAATTGTGATGGAACCAGTGCTTTACAAAAGTTCGTCATAATTTTTTTTTGCTTCTGTACGTGATACTTCTATTTGTGAAGCCTATGATCCTGATTGCTTTTACAATACTTTCTTAACCTGCCTTGTCACTTTTAATTTGCCCCATGTTCCCGTACCCTCTTTAGAATTGTACGAATTCATATTGCATTTCCCCATTTCTCAAGCCATGCTTCTCTTCATATCCCCTCCATCAGCTTGTGTCCTATTAAAATCTATCAATATCTTCTTCAGATTTTACTATACTTCCAGATTTTGTCATCTGTAAATTTAAGTGTGCTCAGCCAAGTTTGTTATTGCATATATTAAAAAAACAGGGTTCCTAATAACCCCACAACACGTCTTTCTCCAGTCTGAAAATGTAGTTTGCTGTCACACAGTTAATTTTATCTCAAAGGTGCTGTGGGCCCTTTTGCCCTATGGGCAACAAATTTTATCAATATCATCATCTTTCAAAAGTCCGTTTTCCACCAGGTTAATCAAATGTGACTTGGCATTCACATATTAATCCACACTTAGCCTGGTGACTGTTTGTTTTATCTTGGATTATTGAATTAGAAGGAATACTGATGGAGAAGAGAAGAGAAAAGACAGTAGAAGCCAGCTCAAGAAAAGGGAAAGAAATGAAGAAAAGGGAGAACAGAACATGAACCTGAAAGGGGAGTGAGTAGGTGGGTGGGGACGGGGGAAGGAAATGAGCGTGTGAGGGAGGGGATAATAAGAAGCAGAGAGAAAATGGATGGATGGCCAGGGAAGAGAGTAGTTACTTAACTTCATTCTGCAAAGAAATAAGAGGAAAGTGACAGATTTAGACACGGCTCCAACTGAAGGGCTGAGACCAGTACACGATGAGGGGCGGAACAGTGTCAGTGCTGTAATTTCCATTACGAATGCAAATCCTGTGCTTGCCTCTGGAAGAAGAATCTTCTAATACTGTTTAATCCAGTGTTTTATCACAAAACATACCAATGACGTGCAAAGAAAATTTATTCAGTAAATACAAAAAGGGAAAAATTGAACTCCTGTACAACTAGAAAAAAAAACAATAAAACTTGTACATTAATTGAGCCAAATGGGCCTGTTTTCAGCATTAGTATAGTTTGCTGAAAAGATATTCCTCCTGCTGCAACACCAGTGCCCAGTCGTGTTAATGGATCACTGCCTGGTTGCCAGATTTCGTCCAAAATACTGGCACAATGACAGCAAACCATCCAACATGGTCAACATTCATACTTGACTGCTGCCAAGTTCCACTTGTTCAGTTTGGCTTGTGAACTGATATACAGATTCTATTGGCCTAATGTGACTTAAAGCTATTAACCCCTAGCTTATCCCTCCCCATGTCCCCCAAACTAACAGGATATGCCAGACAAGAGTGCTCAGTACTGTTCCCCACAAAGTGCAAAATGACTTTAACAAACATGTTTGGTGAGACAGAAGGTTACTGAAATTTGTTGCAGATATCTGGTAACATCATGCCAATATTAACAAAACTTAAGATCCAACAATGAAACATGTGCAATTTGCATTGGTTTGTAGGGCTATTTCTGAATCAAAAGTTTGTGTAGAATTTAAATGCATTGAGTAAAAATTCTGTTGAATATCTAGTTCCAAATGCTGCATTGCAGACAGGCATATAACAATGGCATAATTTTTTAGCTGAAAGTAACTTTTTTTTTGGCATGTGTAACCTAAAATGACTGGCTGCATTTCTTCCAGAATAGGTGCCAATTCTCCAAAATCAATACTATTTGCCAGATGATTTTATCAGATCCCTTTCATGCATTCTTCTGATAATGTGGGAAGTCTTGAATTATTATTCAGGTTGCCCTTCCTCTTTTGGGGGTTCGAACTGTGCAAGCTGTGAACAATAGATTGAAATACTTTAGCTGTCATTAAAATGAACTTCAGAGACTTCCACATCAAAAACTTGTCACAAACTATATCTGAAAATTCTGCATTGCTCTCATTGAAATAGTTATCATTTTGCAGTTCAAGAAAACTTAAAATATAAAGTTGTTCTACAAAATGCACAAACCAGAACAGGATTTTAAAACTAAACAGAGTTCAATATAGACTCTGCAGTATAGAATGTGAATAGAATCTTTTCAAACATTCTGCAGTGATCACAGGGTCTTAATGGTTTCAAGCACAGTAACAGCCCCTAAAAATCAAACAAAAATACCTGCAAGAATTTGATCCCTGAAATGACATCCCTTTAAAATTTAATTCACACTGTCGAGTTGACTCGCCTGTTGGCAGAGGAGATTGGAATGGAATCAATTGACACTGGAGCTAGCCATACTGTAGAGCAATGGTTTATAAAAAAAATCTGTTAATGGGATAAATGGAACAGGGAACCGAAGTCCCCAGACTGGGCAAAAAAATTAAAACTCCTCCTGAAACTTAATGATTTTGGATTGGAGAAACGCAGGTAATCAAGCTTCCCAAAAATCAGCAATACATTTTAGAGGCACACGTGTGTCACTGTCCCATTGCTTTGCCATTACAGCAACAGAATCACACCAACTTTTTGTTACTTGAAAAGAACTTTTGTAGTTTTAACAGTGCTAAACTTTGTGATAAACCTAATAAGGTTACCATGGCAGAGTAAGAACATTAGATGGACAGACTTCAATAGAAAGCAGGTTGTTTAGCTACTGTGCCTACAGCAGTTCTTTACTGGAACAGCCCTAAACTAATACCCACTATTCCATTTTATCCTTATAACCTTTTTATCAGTTCCAAACTCAGTCACAGTCCAAGAGATGAGTTTGTGCATGGTTGTTAGGTTAGGAGTTGGAGACACAGGGAGGGCTAAAAGCAACTTGGTTTAGAAATTGACATTAAAAAGGAAGAGGTGTTCTGTGTCTTAGAAAGTCTCAAGATAGATAAATCCCTGGGACTTGATGGGATCTATCTCAGAATATTGAGGGAAACAAGAGAACAAATTGCTGGAGCATTGATGGACATCTTTGTGTCCTCTTTGGCCACAGCTGAGGTCCCAGAGGGCTGGAGAATAGCTAACATAGTCCCATTGTTTAAAAAGGGTGGCAGGGATAATCCAGGAAATTCCAGGTCTGTGAGCCTTATGTCAGTGGTAGGAAAATTACTGGAAAAGATTCTTAGGAACAAGATCTATAAGCATTTAGAGGTAAATTAACTGATTAGCAATAAACACATAGTTTTGTGTGTGTGGGGGTCATGCCTCACTAACTTGATCAAATTTTTCGAGGGGGTGATGAAGATGATTGATGAAGGAAAAGCAGTTGGATGTTATTTACATGGACTCCAGTAAAGCCACTGTCAAGGTCCCTCATGACAGACTGGTACAAAAGGTGAAGTCACATGGTATCAGGAGCGAGCTGGCTTAGTCATAGGAGACAGAAGGTAGAGGTGGAAGGATGGTTTTCGGAATGGAGGGATGTGACGAGCAGGGATCAGTGCTGGGACATCACTTGTTTGTGATCTACATAAATGCTTTGGAGAGAAAAGTAGCTGGTCTAATTAGTAAGTTTGCAGACGTTACAAAGATTGGGGGAGTTGCAGATAGCGAGGAGGATTGTCAGAGGATACAGCACGATATAGATCAGTTGGAGACATGGTCAGAAAAATGGCAGATAGAGTTTAATCCAGACAAATAGGTGGTGATGCATTTTGGAAGGTCACGTACAGGTGGAAGTTATACAGTGAATGGCAGAACCTTTAGGAGTATTGATATGCAGAGAGATCTGGGTGTGCAGGTTCACAGATCACTGAAGATGGCAGCGCAGGTAGATAAGGAAGTAAAAATGGCCTATGGCCTGCTTGCCTTCGTTGGAAAGGGCATTGAGTACAAGAATAGACAAGTTTTGCTGCAGCTTTATAGAACTTTAGTTAGGCCACACTTGGAATATTGCTTACAGGTCTGGTCACCACATTGCCAGAAGTGGATGCTTTGGACAGGGTACAGAAAAGGTCTACCAGGATGTTCCCTGGTATGGGGGATTTTAGTTATGAAGGTTGGATAGATTGGGCTCGTTTTCACTGGAGAGCAGGAGGTTGAGGGGCGACCTGATAGAAGTTTAGAAGATTGTGAAGGGCCTGGATAGAGTGGAAAATGAGGCTTCCCCCCCCGCCCCCAGGGTGGAGGGATCAACTACAAGGGGACATAGGTTCAAAGTGCGAGGGTGGGGGATGTTTAGACATACACGAGGCACACTTTTCACACAAAGGGTGGTGAGCACCTGGAAGGTGCTGCCAGGGAAGGTGGTGGCAGCAGACACAATAGTAGCATTCAAGAAGCACCTGTACAAGTACATGAGTAGGACAGGAATAGAGGGATACGGATCCTTTAAGTGAAGACAGTTTTAACACAGAAGGGTAAAATGTGTCAGCACAGGCTTGGAGGCCTGAAATTTGCTGCATCATTCTTTATCATGGAGGGATTAACCAAGAACTTTAAAATTGGCTTCTGATCCAACAGTGTGTCTATGTGTGCTAATGAACAAAGAGATACTGGGTGAACTGGATTTGGTGTTGGCTAGGAAATAGAATCATAGAATCCCTGCTATGCAGAAAGAGGCCATTGAGCCCATCAGATCTGCACTGACCCTCCAAACAGCATTCAACCCAGACCCAGTTACACAAAACTATTTTTTTCCTCCTGCAGATTAACATTAATTAGAGATGCATCCTCTATTCAAAGTTATTCCTTGTGCATATATCCAAATCATTCATTCAAATTGCAAGAACAACAAAAAAAAATCACTGCACATAGCTACCCACATTCCATCCATTTTAAGTAAAAATTTAGTTTTGCACTGCACCCATTGAGGGTGCAAGGCAGAATTTACTGTGTATCCAAAGTTGCCCAGAGGCTACAAGGACCAACCATGTGGTGTGTCAGTGGAATCACGTGAATGTCAGCCTGGATAGAAGTGCCCTTAATTACATCACAATGCTCAAAGAGGGGTTGAAGGTCAAGTACAAGCTGTTGTACTCAAATTATTTATCCAGGGACCCGAATCTTTAATAACATGTCTTTCCCTTTATTAAAAGGATATATTTAACCCAGGTATCCCCATCTCATATTCAAATATCTCCAAACACTCAATCACCATTTTTCCTCAAACAACTCAGATGAGGTGGTAGAACAGTGGCACCACTGAATTAGTAATCAACAGCCCAATTGGATGCTGGGGACACAGTTTGACAATGAAATTTAAATTCAATAAAAATCTGGAATTAGAAAAAGCTACACTAATGGCAACTAGTAACCACTGTCAATTGTTATAAAAACCCATCTTGTTCACTAATTTCCTTCAAGGAAGGAAATCTGTTGTCCTTATCTATCTGACCTACATGTGATTCCAGGTTCACAGCAATGTGGTGGACTTTTAACTGCCCTCTGAAATGGCTCCAAGCAAGCCATTCAATGAGTGGTTAGGGATGGACAAATAAATGCTTTCAGCCTTGGACAACCACAAATCAATTCCATGATACTTAGTACACAGGAGAAATGTGGAGGAGACATCTGGTTGAAGAGTTGGTGTAGTGAGGCTAACGATGTGTGGGGATAGGACTAGGCAGGCTTCACAAGTGACAGTCTAAGGCTTTGTGAAATTTGTGGGGAGGGTGTTGAAGAAGGGTAATACCCGAAACATTGAATTTCCTTTCCTCCAAATGCTGCCTGGCCTGCTGTGTTCTTTCAGCCTCCTGTTTGTCTACCTTTGGTTTCTACCATCTTGATTAAGCCAAGAGTTGCATGGAAATCACTCTGTACTGAAAGTAGTCATCTAGATCTCTTCTGATCTCACTGAGGACGGAAAATTATCTGTCAATCCAATATCTTTCCCTGTTAGGATACAGTTTGACTGATTTTGATGCTCAGACTGGATCTGGCATTGTGAATAATAGTTAACCTGTACACCACAGCTGATTCAATCTAAAATTCTCTATACCAGTCTTAACAATCAAGGAGGTCATCTTTGTGTTGAACACCAGGAGATGGGAGAGACACTATATGAATATTTTGCATCAGTTTTTACTGTGGAGAAAGAAACGGAGTCTAGATAATGCAAAGAAATAAACTTTGATGTTTAAAAACAGTTCATATTACAGAAGAGGAAGTTCGGGAGGTCTTAGAGAATATAAAAGGTGGATAAATCTTCAGGACCTGATCTAATTTATCACAGAACATTGTGGGAATTATGGGAGGAAATTGAGACCCCTTGCAGAAATATTTGCATCATTAATAACTATGGGTGACGTGCCTGATTACTAGAGGGTGGCTAATAGAACATAGAACAGTACAGCACAGTACAGGCCCTTCAGCCCATGATGTTGTGCCGAACTTTTACCCTAATCCCAAGGTCTATCTAATCTCCACCCCTACCTTATACTATCACCCATATACCTATCTAATAGCCACTTAAATGCCCCTAATGAGGCTGACTCCATTACCCGCTCCGGCAATGCATTCCACGCCCCGACCACTCTCTGAGTAAAGAACCTAGCTCTGACGTCTCCCCCGTATCTACCTCCACTCACTTTAAAACTGTGCCCCCTCGTAATAGCTACCTCCACCCTAGGAAAAAGTCTCTGGCTGTCTACTCCATGTATACCTCTGATCATTTCGTACACCTCTATCAAGTGACCTCTCATCCTTCATCGTTCTAAAGAGAAAGGCCCTAGCTCTCTCAACCTTTCCTCGTAAGGCCTTCCCTCCATTCCAGGCAACAGCCTGGTAAATCTCCTCTGCACCTTTTCCAACACTTCCACATCTTTCCTGTGATGAGGCGACCAGAACTGGACACAATACTCCAGAGGTGGCCGAACCAGGCTTGTGTACCTGGAGCATAACTTCACGGCTCTTGAACTCAATGAAAGCTAACACACCATATGCCTTCTTAACAACTCTATCCACCTGGGTGACAGCTTTCAGGGAACTGTGAACATGAACCCCAAGATCCCTCTGCTCCTCCACACTGCCAAGAATCTTTCCGTTAACCCTGTATTCTGCTTTCAAGTTTGTCCTTCCAAAATGAATCACCTCACAATTTTCAGGGTTAAACTCCATCTGCCATTTCTCAGCCCAGCTCTGCATCCTATCAATGTCCCTTTGTAACCTAGAATGTTGTACCTTTGTTTAAGAAGGGTTGTACGGAGAAATCGGGGAACTACAGACCTGAGAGTCTGACTTCAGTTGTGGGTAAGTTGTCACAGGTGATTATAAAAGATAGGATTCATAGACGTTTAGAGAGGCAAAAATTGATTAGGGATAGTTAGCATGGTTGTGTGTGAGGAAAATGATGTCTCACAAACTTGATGAGTTTTTTGAGGAAGTTACCGGAAAGATTGATAATGGTAGAGCACAAGTTGTTTATTTGGATTTTAGTAAAGCCTTTGACAAGGTTCTGCATGGTAGCCTAATGAGGAAAGTTAGGTCACATGGGATTCAGAGTGAGCTTGCCAATTGGATACATAATTGGCTTAACGGCAGGAGAGAGAGTAATGGTGGAGGGTTGCTTTTTGGACTGGACGCCTGTAACCAGGGTGTTCCACAGGGATTGGTTCTGGGTCCTCTTTTGTCTATCATTTATAGAAATTATTTGGATGAGAATATAGAAGGCATGGTTATTAAGTTTGTGGACAAAACCAAAATTGGTGGCATAGTCGACAGCGAAGGTGGTTTTCTAAGATTACAAAGGGCCGCTGATGTGTGGAACCAGAAGAGATGGTTGAGGTTGGGGGAATACTAAATGAGTATTTTGCATCAGTGTTTACTGTGGAGAAGGATATACAAGATAGAGAATTTGGGGAAATAAATAATGACATCTTGAAAAATATTCATGTTACAAAAGGTGGTGGTGCTGGACATCTTAAAATGCATAAAGGTGAATAAATCACCGGGACCTGATCAGGTGTAGCCGAGAACTCTGTGGGAAGCTAGGGAAGTGACTGCTTGGTCCCTAGCTGAGAGACTTATATCATTGATAGCCAGTGAGGTGCCGGAAGACTGGAGGTTGGCTAGCGTGGTGCCACTATTTAAGAAAAGGTGGTAAGGAAAAGCCAGGGAACTGTAGACCAGTGAGCCTGACATCAGTGGTGGGCAAGTTGTTGGAGGGAACCCTGAGACATGATTCACATATATTTGTAAAGGCAAGGACTGGTTCTCGATAGTCAACATGATATAATGCATGGGAAATCATGCCTCACTAAATTGAGAGTGTTTTTTGAAGCAGTAATGAAGAAGATTCACGAGGGCAGAGCAGTGGATGTGATTTATACGAACTTCAGTAAGGCATTCAACAAGGCTCCTCATGGTAGACTGGTTAGCAAAGTTAGATCACACGGAATACAGGGAGAACTAGCTATTTGGATATAGAATCAGCTCAAAGGTAGGAGACAGAGGGTGGTGGTGGAGAGTTGCTTTTCAGACTGGAGGCCTGTGACCAACGGTGTGCCGCAAGGATTGATGCTGGGTCCACCGCTTTTCATTATTTATATAAATGACTTGGATGTGAACATAGGAGGTATGGTTAGTGAATTTACAGTTGACACCAAAATTTACCTCAGAGTACAGAGGACAGGGTACAACAGGATCAGATGGGCCAATGGGCTCAGGAGTGGCAGCTGGAGCTTAATTTAGATAAATGTGAGGTGCTGCATTTTGGAAAGGCAAATCAGGGCAGCACTTATACACTTAACGGTAAGGTCCTAGGGAGTGTTACTGAACAAAGAGACCTTGGAGTGCAGGTCCATAGATCCTTGACAGTGGTGTCACAATTAGATAGGATGGTGAAGGCGTTTGGTATGCTTGCCTTTATTGGTCACTGCATTGAATGTAGGAGTTGGGAGTCATGTTGCATTTGTACAGGACAATTCCGGTCTCCCTGCTATAAGAAAGATGTTGTAAAACTCGAAAGGGTTCAGAAAAGATTTACAAGGATGTTGCCAGAGTTGGAGGGATTGAATATAGGGAGAAGTTAAATAGACTGGGGCTATTTTCCCTGTAGCGCCAGAGGCCGAGGGGTGGCCGTGTAGAGGTTTACAGAAAATCATGATGGGCGTGGATAGAGTAAATAGTCAAGGTCTTTTCCCTGGGGTGGGTGGGGAGTCCAAAACTAGACGGCATAGTTTAAGGTGAGAGGGGAAAGATTTAAAAGGGACCTAAGGGGCAGCTTTTGTACACAGAGGGTGGTTCGCATGTGGAATGAACTTCCTGAGGAAGTGGTGGATATGGGTACAATTACAACATTTAAAAGACATTTGGATTGATAAATGAATAGGAAAGGTTTGGAGTGATATGGGCCAGGAGCAGGCAGGTGGGATGACATTAGTTTGGGATTATATTCAGCATAGACTGGTTGGACCAAAAGGTTCTGTTTCTGTGCTGTACAGCTCTATGACAGCATATCCATAAATGTATTCTGTACCATCTCTAGTATGATTGCATTCTTCCTATATCCTGGTGACTGGAATTGTCTGCAGTACGCTAGTTGTGGTCAGAGTAGTGTTTGTGCACGGAGTTAAATAGAGTTCATAATATCAATGATAGCAGGAACTGCAGCTGCTGGAGAATCCGAGACAACAAGGTGCAGAGCTGGATGAACACAGCAGGCCAAGCAGCATCATAGGAGCAGAAAGGCTGACGTTTCGGGCCTAGACCCTTCATCAGAATATCATAATATCAATTCTGTGATTTTTCATTAGAACTGAGGAAAAGCTAGAAATGTAATAGGTTTCAAGCAAGTGAAAGAAAGAGAAAACAAAAGGAGGCCCAGGATAGGATGCACAGGTTAAAGTTTTATGGGACAAAAACAAAAGGGATAAGATACAGAAGATGTTTTTAGGGGAGATGTGAATTACAGGATAGCAGCTGTGCAAAGTAAAAGGGTAAGAAAGTCGCATAATAATTTCATATTTCATGTTGCAGTTTGGTGCCCCCAAAAGTTTGCAGATGACACTAAGATTGGTGGAGTAGCAGATAGTGAAGGGGACTGTCGGAGAGTGCAGCAGAACATAGATAGATTGGAGAGTTGGGCGGAGAAATGGCAGATGGAGTTCAATCCAGGCAAACGTGAGGTGATGCATTTTGGAAGATCCAATTCAAGAGAAAACTATACGGTCAGTGGAAAAGCCCTGGGGAAAATTGATGCACAGAGATCTGGGTGTTCAGGTCCATTGTACCCTGAGGGTGGCAACGCAGGTCGATAGAGTGGTCAAGAAGGCATACGGCATGCTTTCATTCATCGGACGAGGTATTGAGTACAAGAGTTGGCAGGTCATGTTATAGTTGTATAGGACTTTGGTTCGACCACATTTGGAATACTGCGTACAGTTCTGGTCGCCACATTACCAAAAGGATGTGGATGCTTTGGAGAGGGTGCAGAGGAGGTTCACCACAATGTTGCCTGGTATGGAGGGCGCTAGCTATGAAGAGCGGTTGAGTAGATTAGGATTATTTACATTAGAAAGACGGAGGTTGAGGGGGGACCTGACTGAGGTCTACAAAATCATGAGAGGTATAGACAGGGTGGATAGCAAGAAGCTTTCCCCCCCCCCACCCCAGAGTGGGGGACTCAATTACTAGGGGTCATGATTTCAAGGGGAGAGGGGAAAAGTTTAAGGGAGATATGCGTGGAAAGTTCTTTACGCAGAGGGTGGTGGGTGCCTGGAATGCGTTGCCAGCGGAGGTGGTAGAGGCGGGCACGATAGTGTCATTTAAGATGTATCTAGACAGATACATGAATGGGCAGGGAGCAGAGGGATACAGATAATTGTAAAATAGGCGACACGTTTAGATAGAGGATCTGGATTGGCGCAGGCTTGGAGGGCCAAAGGGCCTGTTCCTGTGCTGTAATTTTCTTTGTTCTTTGAATGAATCAGAAAACAACTGTATCAGAGGAGCATTTAGAAAGAGCCATTGGTGCCTTGCTTGCTGCCACATTTGCTACCAGCTCCTGAAATAGCAAAGTAGCAAGGTGGGTGGCTAGGATGATGAGAGGTGAGGAGACAAAAGGCCAAGTGTGCAACTCTTCAGCTTGAATGAAAAAAATGCTGTAGGAAAGGACCGAGTTGTTTAGGGTGACTGAGGAAGGTGTATTTGGTAGTGGCATCACACTGGAGTTGGTGGAAATGGCAAAGGATGGTGTGGGGAAGATAGCTGTTAGGGCAAAACAGGAACCACACCATGGTTCTGGAAGAAAGAGAAAGGAACAAGGTGTCTGAAATAGATTTGAGATTAGACCAATCAACCAAGTTGTGAAGGATAGGGAAATCCTTGGTTGAGAAGGTTACATCATCTGAACAGATGCAGAGATGAGGAACAGGGAGATTAAGTGTCCTTGCCTGAGATGAAGTCAAGGTAGCTGTGGGAGTCGGTGGGCTTGTCTTGCAAAATGATAGTAAGAACTTACTGTAGTTTCTTTCTTCTTTAAGCATGCATTCCATCTATCTTACTATTTTGATTGTTGAGACTTATAAACGTAAGAAAATCATTGTATTTATCCAATCTCATCACAACGTACTAACTCAAAAGGACTTCACACAACGGCAGACATTGAAGAACTTGGTATTCACTACTCAGCATACTGCATAGCATGATGCATTACCTTCGCTTTTAGTTCCTTATTTTCTTCCAGCAGCAATTCGTATTTCTGTCTTAGTTCTATCACTTCAAGGCGCAGTGTTTCCACATCTGCAGTTTCAGGGCCTGATGTTCCCAAATGCTGTTTCAAAAAACTAACACATTAAGGAAAGAAACAATGCACCTTTTAATACAGTGAGATTGTCGCACCGAACTAGCTACACAGAAATGGTGAAAATGGACTGTCTACCATACCTCAGAGCACTATGAACGAAATATGGGAGTAGAATGCACACTGGAATTGCATTTATTTAATTATTCCGAAATATACTTTCAGCTTAAAGCAACAGATTGTGTTTCTTTGCAGAGATATCACCACCTAGCAAAAAATACCATTAATGATCAGAGATAAGGGCAAGATTTAAAATAAGTAAAGGGTGGAGGCAACAAAGAAAAGGGTGACAAAAGTTATTATAAAGCATGAAGAAACAATTTAAAAAAATCAGTTTATGTTTACCTTCCTAGGAAATTAAGTCATGGAATTTAAAATAAAAATAGCAAACTTAACCTGCAACTTTTATTTTACTCAAATTCTACTCAATTTAGGACTTTGGTTCGACCACATTTGGAATACTGCGTACAGTTCTGGTCGCCACATTACCAAAAGGATGTGGATGCTTTGGAGAGGGTGCAGAGGAGGTTCACCAGGACGTTGTCTGGTATGAAGGGCGCTAGCTACGAAGAGAGGTTGAGTAGATTAGGATTATTTACATTAGAAAGACGGAGGTTGAGGGGGGACCTGACTGAGGTCTACAAAATCACGAGAGGTATAGGCAGGGTGGATAGCAAGAAGCTTTTTCCCCAGAGTGGGGGACTCAATTACTAGGGGTCACAATTTCAAGGTGAGAGGGGTAAAATTTAAGGGAGATATGCGTGGAAAGTTCTTTACGCAAAGGGTGGTGGGTGCCTGGAACGCATTGCCAGCGGAGGTGGTAGAGGCAGGCATGATAGCATCATTTAAGATGTATCTAGACAGATACATGAATGGGCGGGAAGCAGAGGGATACAGATCCTTGGAAAATAGGCAACAGGTTTAGATAGAGGATCTGGATCAGCGCAGGCTTGGAGGGCCGAAGGGCCTGTTCTTGTGCTGTAATTTTTTTTGTTCTAATTTCCTTTTGAAATTACCGAAAGTCACTATTTCCACCATGCTGGTAGGTGGCAGGTTCTAGATTATTACCACTCAATGTCGAAGAAATTGATTCCTCACATCTGTCCCAAAAACCTACATTTAGGTTTCCTACTCTTTGAAGGAACAGCAAATGGGAACAGTGCTTCTTTGTCCACCTTATCAATCTTGTACTAACCTCTAGCAAATCTTTCCTCAACCTCCTTTGAAACCGTACCCTAACCAGAGCTTATAGACAGCATCTATACTGGATGAGAATAGAATGCTGACAGTTAGCAGGTCATCATTGATTGGTAGAGGCATTCCTGTAAAGAGAACACCAGACTGCTTTCTCTTCATATTGGCATTTCTTGTGCATTGTCCTTATCAGTACAAGATGAAAAGCTTTGATAAAATATATCTTTTTTAGCAACACTTTTGGTGCATTCTACCATCTTCTACTCCCAAGGGAAATGCAAATCCCTTCATCCCTGACCATCTTCTAGGGCTGCCATTAAATCTATTTTTCCTCTTCCTTTACATTCCAAAGAATACCTCTTCACATTTCACTATTTTTCACTTGATACTTTTGTTAAGCTCCTTGTCCCTTCCTGAATTATTCTGCTTATTTTTGCTCAAACTGCTTCTCTGCCCTACCTCCATGCTAAATGGGACAGGTTTTGAACAGAACTAGAAGGTTACATCATCTGAACAGATGTAGAGATGAGGGACAGGGAGATTAAGTGTCCTTGATTGGACACCCATGAGGCACTGTGGGCCATTAACAGTAGCAGAATTGTGTTCAACCAAAATAAAACCTTATTGCCCAGCACATCCCCACTCCAACATTACCAGAAATGCAAGGAATCAGCTCTGGTTCAAAGAAGAGTGCAGGAGAGCCTACCAAGAGCAGAACCAGGCAAATCTAAAAGTAAGGTGTCAATTGACAGATGACACTAAGATGAGTGGCAGAGCGAAGTGTGCAGAGGACTGTGAAACTTTGCAGAGGAACATAGATACATTGAGTGAGTGGGCAAAGGTCTGGCAGATTGAATACAATGTAAATAAATGTGAAGTCATACATTTTGGTAGGAGTAATAGTAAAAAGGATTATTACTTGAATGGTAAAAAGTTGCAGCATGCTGCTATGCAGAGGAACCTGGGTGTCCTTGTGCATGAATCACAGAAGGTAGGTCTGCAGGTACAACAAGTAATTAGGAAGGCAAATGGAATTTTGTCCTTCATTGCTAAAGGGATTGAAATTAAAAGCAGAGAGGTTATGTTGCAGCTGTACAAGGTGCTGGTGAGGCCACACCTGGAGTACTGTGTGCAGTTTTGGTCTCCTTACTTGAGAAAGGATGTATTGGCACTGGAGGGGGTGCAAAGGAAGTTCACTAGGTTGATTCCGGAGTTGAGGGGGTTGGCTTATGAGGAGAGACTGAGTAGATTGGGATTATATTCATTGGAATTCAGAAGATTGAGGGGGGATCTTATAGAAACATATAAAATTATGAAGGGAAAAGATAAGATAGAAGTAGAGAGGATGTTTCCACTGGCAGGTGAAGCTAGGACAAGAGGGCATAGCCTCAAGATTAGAGGGGCAGATTTAGGACTGAATTGAGAAGGAATTTCTTCACCCAGAGGGTTGTTAATCTATGGAATTCCTTGCCCAGTGAAGTAGTTGACACTACTTCAGTAAACGTTTTTTAAAAAAAAGGTAGTTTTTTTTGAACAATAAAAGGAATTAAGGGATACGGTGAGAACTCGGGTAAGTGGATCTGAGTCCACGAAAAGATCAGCCATGATCTTGTTGAATGGCGGAGCAGGCTCGAAGGGCCAGACGGCCTACTCCTGCTCCTAGTTATTGTGTTCTAATTAGTGAAGCTAAAACACAGCACTACTTAATAGCAAGCAGTGTTAGTAGAATTAGAGACCTAAGCTTTCTCACTCCAATGAATAGGATCTAGCTTCTGCAGTCTTGCCACATCCAGTTGTGGTGGCAGACAGTTAAACAAGAGGACAGTCTGTAAATATCCCCATTCTGAGCGATTGGGAAACCCAGCACATCAGTTAAAAGACAAGCCTGAAGCATCTGTAAGCCAGCTGGATCTACAGAGTTGAGAATTCATCTTGGTCTCTGCCTGACAATCCAAATAGCACAGATGCGATTCTGCAACCAATTCATACCACTCCACATAACTCAGTAGGGAAGTTATAATAGAGCTAGACAAGATCCGGGTTAAACTACGGCTGAAGTATTGTATATCGTTCTGTTCACCACACTATAGGAGGATGCAAGAGGATGCAGAGGATGTTGCCTGGGCTAAAGCATTTCAACTATGGAGATAGGCTGGAATTTTGTTTTCCTTTGAGCAGGTAAGGCTGGGTGGAAGGTGGTGTGAAGAGGAAGACCAACCTGATTAAGGTGTACAAAATTATGAGAGGCATAGATAGGGTGGATATTAAGAACCCTTTCCCTTGAATAGAGAGTTCAAGAATCTGAGGGATAGATTTAAGGAAAGCTACAGGAGGTTTGAATTGAAGGAAGAATATTTCACAGAGGGGGTCCGGTGTGTATCTGGGACTTCCAGCCGAAAAGGGTGGGCGATCAGGAACCATCACAACAACGTTTTGTAAATACTTACACACATAAAGACTTGAAACATCTTAGCATACAAGGCTTTGGGCTAAATGCTGGAAAGTAGAACCAGAATGGATAAGTGCTTGATGACTGGTGTGGATACAATAGGCTGCAGGGCCCCTTTCCATGCTGTAAAACTCAGATCACGAGTCTGCTGAAGGCAATGGATACTGCAAGACTCTCGACTCTAACAACATTCTGACAATAAATCAGAAGACTTCTACTCCAGAACTAGCTGTATCCTAATAGCTGTTCCAATACAATTACAACACTGGCATTTATCTGGCAATGTGAAAAATTGTCCAGGTTTGTCCTGTTCATAAAAAGCAGGACCAATCCAACTCAGCCAATTGGTGCACCAGTCTGCTCTCAATCAGCAAAGTGATGGGAAGGGTAATTGACAAAGCTTGCTGGTACTTGCTGTATGTAAACAAACAAACAAACAAACAAACAAACAAACATTTCAGATATTCAGTTTGGGATATGCCAGGCCCATTCAGCTCCTGGCTTCATTACAGTCTGATTTCAAACATGGACAAAAGAGCTGACATCAAGGAAAGTGGAAGTGATATCATTCGATACAAAAAAAAAAATCATTTGGTAGAGTGTGACATCAAGGAGCTGTTGCAAAATTGGAGTCAATGGGAATCAGGGGAAAATCTCCAGGTTGGAGTCTTACCTAGCACAAAAGAATATGGTTATGCTGGAGGCAATTATCTCAGTCCCAGGATATCACTGCAGGTGTTTCTCAGTGTCCTATGCCAGGCTATTTTCAGCTGCCTCATCATAAGTTCAGAGGTAGGGAAATTTGCTAATGATTTCACAATGTTCAGCACAAAATCTCAGACACTGAAACAATTTGCCCAAATCAACAAGACCTGTACCATAGAGATAACAAGGTGTAGAGCTGAATGAACACAGCAGGCCAAGCAGCATCAGAGGAGCAGGAAGGCTGACGTTTCGGGCCCAGACCCTTCTTCAGAAAGCCTCTGCTCTGCTCCATTTCTGAAGAAGGGTCTGGGCCTGAAATGTCAGCCTTCCTGCTCCTCTGATGCTGCTTGGCCTACTGTGTTCATCCAGCTCTACACCTTGTTATCTCAGATTCTCCAGCATCTGCAGTTCCTACTATCTCTAGACCTGTACCATATTCAGGTTTGGGCCAAGAATTGGTAAGTAACTTTCATGCTACCCAAATACCACAAACAACATCTCCAGCGAGACAGAATCCAACCATCACACCTCGACAATCCCTTGGGGTTAAATCCCCCTGGGAGTTACTACTGATGAGAAATTGAATTGGAACAGCCATCTGTATACTGCAGCTACAACAGCA